TGAGGACAAAATCACAAAGTTCAGCCACCAGGTTAGCTGTGACATTATCTACTGCAGTCTAATAAATAGTTGTGTAACTCAACGGAAAGTGTGTGTCAGGCCTGTCTCTAGTAACTACCTTAATAGGATGCTAGCCATAGCTCAAATAGTAGAAGTTGGTGTTGAAGCTCTATAGGGTCTGGGTTAAAACCTTTCTGCTCCTGCTGCAAGAAGTTTGTAGTTGCTTATAACAGAATTTATTTATTTATTTATTTAAACTAGTTGATTTAATTCACACAATGAAAAACCATCCTTTAAAAAAGCTGTTTGGTCTCAGTGGGAGGTGCAAGTGGCAGCCTTATGGAGTGCTGGAGTCGGAGTGTGTTATTGACAGCCATGTCGAGGATGTGAAGGCTGCTAGGAATGACGGAATGTTTTTCCTTCATTTCTGATTTCTAGGCTGTTAGGGTTGTGCTGGGTGGGTTGTGCCTTGGCACCACCTTAATGGTCACTAAAGAAAGTTTTTATTTTTGTTAATTAAATTAATAGTTACTACAGAAGGGATGTGGACAAATTGGAGAGAGTCCAGCGGAGGGCAACAAAAATGCTTAGGGGGCTGGGGCACATGACTTATGGGGAGAGGCTGGGGGAACTGGGCTTGTTTAGTCTGCAGAAGCGAAGAGTGAGGGGGGATTTGATAGCAGCCTTCAACTACCTGAAGGGGGGTTCCAAAGAGGATGGAGCTAGGCTGTTCTCAGTGGTGGCAGATGATAGAACAAGAAGCAATGGTCTCAAGTTACAGTGGGGGAGGTCTAGGTTGGATATTAGGAAACATTATTTCGCTAGGAGGGTGGTGAAGCACTGGGATGGGTTACCTAGGGAAGTGGTGGAATTGCCATCCTTAGAGGTTTTTAAGGCCTGGATTGACAAAGCCCTGGCTGGGATGATTTAGTTGGTGTTGACCCTGCTTTGAGCAGGGGGTTGGACTAGATGACCTCCTGAGGTCTCTTCCAACCCTAATATTCTATGATTCACTGACCCAGTCCAGAATTGCTTGGCTGCTGAGATTTATCAAGGTTTTATGGCACTGAGGCTACAGGGCAGATATTTATTTGCTGTTAAATTTAGTGATACTTCAGGAAGTGAGATAAGGGGAACGGGAATCCAAGTGAGGTCTCATTTAACAACAAAGAGCACTGGGAATAGGTTACCAGGAAAGATGTCAAAGGCCAAATGTTCAGCCAAAACTCGGGGCTTGTCTACACCTGAAACACTGCAGCAGCACAGGTGCAGCTGCCCTGCTGTCACACGTCAGTGTAGACACTCATTACAGCAATGGGAAGGGTTCTCCTGTTGTTGCAGTTAACACACCTCCTGAAGAGGCAGTAGCTGGGCTGAGAGAAGAATTCCACCATCGACTTAGTGCGGCCAGCACCGGGGGTTTGCTTGGCTTAACTACGTTGCTCGGGGGCATGGATTTGTTACAGCTCAGAGCGACATAGCTGGGTCGACCTGACTTTTTAGTGTAGAGCAGGCCTGTGCTTCGCGTTCGTGCCTAGGCTTTGCAGGTGACAATATTTGTATTCACAGAGTTACAGGCTCGTGGTGTCAGAGCACACGATTAAACTGGAAAACATTAACTGTGACATTCCTGGGTGCAATGGAATTTTCACCTTAGTGTTACGTTCCTATCTAATTTACAGTTAACAAAGGCTGGGATTTTCAAAAGAGGGTTAAGCTCCCAAATCCCTCTGACAATCTAGCCACCAAGGCAACTGGACTATGAGATAAATGGTCACTTACACCAAAAATCACAAAATATTCAAGTTACACCCAGTCCCAAGAGACCGGTCTCTCACCCAGATCGATTTGAATCCCAGATCTCACTCTAAAGACTACACTGGCAGCCAATTCTATAGTAAACCTACTAAAGGTTTATCAGCTAGAAAAAAGGCATGAGAGTTATTGAGAAGTTAAAGTAAGTAAAAATGTAAGTACAGGTGAATCACAGTCTATAATTTCAAAAGGTAGCGGAGATGTAGTAATCTGTGAATTTCCAAAAACTCTTTCAGGGCTACCCAGAATAATTCAGGGGATCACCACCACCTCTTTGTTCAGTTATTCTGCCCTCTTAGAATCCAAACTGTCCAGAGATGAAGAATTTTTCCTTGTGTCCATACTTCTTCTCACAGGAGCCAAGCTCACAGCAACACTTCCTATGAAGGTCCCTTCTTCATGGGGTGGGGAAGGAATGCACTTAACGAAGTC